AGAGGAAAACCAGGGCGAGTCATCGCCAAGTGGTTACGATCAAAGAGGTCTCAAACCTGACGTTCCCACAAGATGGGGTTCTCTCTGTAGTCTCTTTGAATCAGCTGTAGCTTCTTGTGAAGTTCTCAATGACGTTTTGATGAAGACTGGATCCTTCGATTGCCTGCTTGCGCCCAGTGAAAAAGAAGAGATCTCTGTCGCCGCGAAGTTCTACAGAGTGAGTTTCTTCAGATCCAAAAACCGGCTCGGAAGAAGTGATTTTCTAGGAAGCATCATGAAAATGGGAAATGGGTCTGCTGATGCATCATATTCATATGATATAATTCCAGGTGATTCTAGATCTCATGACACTTTTGCAAAGCTCTAAGAAACCATCGATAAACATGGTTGTCCTCGGAATTATTGACATCGAAAGCACCTTACGCGAGCTCGAAGACGATATCACTGCTTCTGAGGATGATACAACTACGGAGTTCCGGAAAGCGCTTGCGGAGACTCTCTTGCAATGTGTTCAGGGAAGAATGAGACCTTTCGGCAGGATGGAAATCTTAGGCGCCCTCCTGGACCCCGAGATGAAAGACATCTCGAAGGTCAGGGCAGAAGTCCCCGGCGGGAATCCCGCTCGTTTCCTCCTCGACGCCGTACTCGAATATACAAGCTTACCCGTAGCGGAAGAGGCGGTTCAAGTGATCGAGCCACCACCGACCCAGAAACCGAGGTATTCATTGACAGCAAAGTACGGGTCCTTGTGTGACCCATTCGAGAACATGGCCAATCAAGTTGATCGTTATCTCGCCAGCCCCGTTAGATTGAGTGGGAGCTGCGGCCCTGACGATCGCGATGAGGTACTGAAGTGGTGGTCCCAAAATGAGTCGACCTTTCCCGCTGTCGCTAACTTGGCGCGGATTATCTTGTCGATCCCCGCCACCTCAGCGGAACCGGAAAGACGTTTTTCGATCGCTGGGAATCTCTTGCGCGAGAAACGATGCTCGATGAACCCGATTACCGCAACAAGAGTTCTATTCGTACATGACAATAAAGAATTTCTATGAAATGGTCTATTACTAGACGTCATCATGTCAGAGTTTGTTTCTGCCGCTCTCCCCCATCCTTCAAACCCGAAGCTCGCTACATATCGAGTGTAATCGTGTTTGGCGATCGATTATATTATAGGCTAGTAGTATCTTGTCTACTCAAATGGCAACGAGAAATCTAAAATATAAGGAATGCGGCGCGGCGGGGCAACTCGATGCCCGATCGGGACACCGGCTGATAGTCGTTTGGAATTACACCGCATCAAGAAACTTCTGCTTAGTCACAGTCAAGCACAATTCTCCGTGATTCCGACGATGATGCATGGTAAGGGGGAGAGCTCGGGAGAGCAGAGCGCGAGGAGCCGAGCGCTTCTCACACAGCTGATTTCTCCGGGGGAAGAGTATTGGGAGGGTTTTCATCCGCGGAATCGTTCTTCGTGCTCTGGCACGTTGGAATATCGAGGTTTGCACGTAAGGAAAGATCGTCGGAAGTCGTGGGTTGTCTCGAACGATGCAGCAACATTAAATTTACGTCGTTCGCTGTGCTCTGATGTTTCACAAACGGTATCATTTATAGTTGGTTACATATACAGACTTACGCTCGGTTACCCGTCGAATTTGCGGGTAGACCGGCTCATGCATTCATTTCATAGTTTTTAGCAACGCCCTGTAGAAATTCGACCGGGGTGCGACTGTGGGAACAATCGACCACTCGTCGCAACCTTATATCTGCTTCCACATACTTTCTGCGTTTAGGCTCCGGAGAGTGACCGCCGACGAGGCGGGCGTATCGCAGATCTCTGTGATGCTGTACTTTCCGGAGACCATCGATCAGCTTCCAAAGAGTCGGCTGATCGACCCCGAACTCGGTTTGAGTCTCTTGTGAGCTGCTCCGGCATCCTTATTTGTGCGCGAATCGTCATTTAGAGTGCGTTGGTACACCGACCACATCTCGACGGCGAACGAAGGCTCCCGACGAACTACGCGTCCGTCGGGCGAGATGTGGAGCAACGAAACACGGTACGTATCCTCGAAATATTTGAGCACTGGCATGAGTTCTTCTGGAAGGTATACCGCAAGGTCTGCGATAACATTATCGAGACATTCCTTTGGCACGAAGGCGAGGCCCGTGATCATGCGTGCGACGCGATTGAAATCTGCGTCATTCCGATATCGACCCATGAGGTGCAACTCGGCGAGCTTTTTCTTCAGATTCTGAGCGAGTTGGGACAGGCAGCCGTGCATCTCGGCAGCTGAGAATGCGCCAGCGAAAGAATCCAAGAGACCTTTCTCAAAATCTGTGGATATTGCCGACGGATTCAATGAAGGCCAGGTATCACGGAGCATTCCGAGCATCCGGCGGTAGGTGTGCTCTGTCTTGTTCGGTAAGAGGGCATAGCACCCGCGTAGAACGAAGCCGCCTCGGTCGGCCAGAACGACAAGGATCTAGTAGAATAAGAGTGGAGACAGGCTGAACGTGCCATCCACGTAGATCGTGGAGTCGAGGCCGATCCATTCGGATACCGACTGCCGACCGAACCACAGGATGCGGTCGGCATCGCCTTCACCTGCAGGAACATGATTATTGAGCGTAAAGAAACCTCATCGACGCCGACGCCTGGTGGGTCGTCCTGGAAGGATCGTCCCACGAGCCATTCGAATGTATTGGCTGATAAAGATATCAATCGATTACGCTTGGAATTACCCGATTCCGCCAGGGGGAATGAGTCGAAGTGCCCAGGACTGCTTTCGTACACCGTGCACTCAGGCGGGATGATAATCGACGCGCGACTGGACGGAAGTGGGGGCGGACGTCTCGAGGCTTTGCGGGCCCTGTTGACAACCCTCAATAGAGTCTGCGTCTTCGGTGCGACCAACCCGGTCGCTTGCGACGAGGACTCGAAGACGCTCTCTACGAGCTGCAGCGGGGTTCTCTGATTATCTAGAGCGCGCCGTTTCAGAGTGCATAACCTACTGGCGATGTCGATGCCGGCTGGACTAGGCTCATCGCTGTGGATACCGATGAGCTTCACTACGTCGCCAGTCGAGACGCAGGTATGCAACCCTGCTTTACAGACTCCGACTCGTTCAAACCGCCAAAACTGCGTGAGACCGTTCTTACTTGTCTTCTCTCGGATGTAGACATGCCCGTCGTGGATTTTCTTCGGTGCACCTCTCTGAGAAACAATCGATCGAGATGCGGACGCCATTCTTTTCAAGACGGGAAATCGCGAGTCGTTCGTGCGCTCAAAGATATCTCTTGAGTCGAGGCTCAACGAAAATGCTACGGCAAACAGCTGACCGATTGCAATGCTTCGGAACAAATTCATTCGAGCCACTGTCCCCTTGGAGCGAACCATGGGGTCGCCGCCCCATTCCGGCGGGAGAATTCCCGCTATCTCCGCTGCATTCGATCGGACTCGGGATACCCAATCTTGGTAAGCAAATCAATCAGAATCTATTCGACCTATCGATCAGCTTATCCATTCACAGACATGCGATACAGTGCCGCCAATCACGGGAGGAATCTGGTCATTCTAAGGATCTGTGGAGGAGTCCGCATACTAGCGAAAATTTCGGAGCGTGAAGTGCACACCTAGAGATGTGAGACTGCCGCGTCGAGGAGTTCCCTTGTTCGTGGAGGAGCGAGACTAGCGGTATCAACACGGAAGCCGAGTTGCATTCGATTTTCGAATTGAGAATTTCCCTGGGTCGGACAGGGCGAAAGTGTTTATGTCTCACTCAGTGTGCAACAATGGTCGCGGAATGAGTTTCTAGTTGAAATTCCTATGTAAGCGATCGACGGGCTTCATTCGGACTGCTCAAATGCAGCTCTGCCTAGCTTTCCGGCATCGAGTTGTCCGGCATCGATTCGTCCGGCATCAAGTTGTCCCGGTATCGAGTTGTCCGGCATCGATTCGTCCGGCATCAAGTTGTCCCGGTATCGAGTTGTCTCGGCATCGAGTTGTCCCGACATCGAGTTGTCCCGGCATCGAGTTGTCCCGGCATCGAGTTGGCCCGGCATCGAGGTGTCGGCATCGAGGTGTCGGCATCGAGTTGTCCGGCATCGAGTTGACCGTGTCCGCTTAATAGGATGGAATCGTCGAGCAGCCGAGAGATCACATCGCAGCGCGGAAGATCGAAATTGGTTCACGAAGGACATATGTTCGTTCACGATAAG